ACTAACACCCTAATAGATGTTATCCTCGTTACTAGCAAGTAAGTTTCAAAGTAATCAAGGCATTCCTTTTGTCTATAACCTTTGACAACAAGTCTTGCCTTATATTTGTCAATAGTGCTATCAGCTTTCATTTTCCGTTTAAAGATCCATTTCGAATCTAAAGGCTTATTTCTTGGAGGAAGATCAACCAATTCACATGTATGGTTATCCAAAATTGATTGAATCTCACTATTATCTGCCTCTTTCCAAAATGATGAATCGGAATATGACATAGCTGCTTTGAAAGTTTGAGACTCATTTTCAAGCAAGAATGTCACAAAATCTAGTCCAAAGGAAGTAGATGTTCTTTGGCATTTGTTACGTCTTGGATCTTTTTCACTTGGAGTATTTTCCTTTGGTCCTTCCCGTGGTCGTTTAGGTCTTTCACTTAACGACTCACATTCAATTTTATATAGATAGATGCTTTCAAAGAATTCAACATTATCTAATTCAATTACCGTATTAACATAAATTTCGGGATTATCATATTTATGAACCAAAAACCGACATGTTTTACTATTTGTAGCATATCTAATGAAAACACAATCCACAGTTTTTGGTTCGATTTTTACCCTTTTGGGTAAAGGTACTTGTACCTTTGCTAGACACCCCCACATTTTAAAATATTTAAAGTTGGGTTTTCGTCCTTTCCATTTATCATATGGAACAGATTGAGTTTTGTTGTGGGGTGCTCTGTTGAGTATTCGGTTAGCTGTAATGATAGCTTCCCCCACAAACTCTGCGGTAATCCGGAACTTATTAATAAAGAATTCATCATTTCCTTTAATGTCCAATTTTTTTTCCTTTCCGCAATTTCATTGGATTGAGGTGTGTAGGGGGTAGTAGTTTGATGGATAATTTCATATTTCGAATATATTTCTGCAAACGGAGATTCATATTCTTCACCCCTATCACTTCTAATTATTTTGATCTTTTTATTTAATTGATTCTCCACTTCATTCTTGTATTGCTTAAATACTTCAATTGCTTCATCCTTACTATTAAGCAAATAAACATAACAATATCGAGTACAATCGTCAATAAAAGTTATAAAATACTTTTTCCCACCTCGAGATGGTATCGATTTCATATCACAAATGTCAGTATTAATTAAGTCTAAAGGATTTGAATTCCTTTCAACGGACTTATAAGGATGTTTTACAAACTCAGATTCAACACATATTTGATATTTTGATTTATTACACTCGAATTTAGGCAATACTTCTAAATTAATTAACTTCTACAAGGTTTTGTAATTGACATATCCTAAACAAATATGCCATAAATCATTTGGCTCCAATAAATAAGAAAAAGCTGAAATTTTATTGATAATGTCAACAACCATTATATTGAGTTTGAAAAGGCCCTCTGTGAGGTAGCCCTTTCCAACATACATTTGATTCTTGCTTACAACAACTTGGTCAGATAAAAATACACATTTGAATCCATTCTTAACAAGTAAAGAAGTTGAAACTAAATTCTTCCTAATAGTAGGAACATGAAGAACGTTGTTGAGCGTTAACACCTTGTCGGAAGTCATCTTCAGAAATATCTTCCCATAACCTTCAATCTTAGCTGTTGCAGTATTTCCCATGGAAAGCTCTTTTTCGAGACCAACGGTAGAGTAAGTTGCAAATGCTTCTTTGACAACACAAACATGTCGAGTGGCTCGAGAGTCAATCCACCACTCCTTCGGATTTCCAACTAGGTTGCATTCCGAAAGCATTGCACATAAATCATCGATGTCATCATTCTTCTCCACTATGTTGGCCTGTCCCTTTTTCTTATCTTTTTTCGGGAGACGACAATCAAGGGCTTTGTAACTAGCTTTTTCACAATTGTAGTCGTTGCTCTTGAATTTCTTCTTGTTCTGCTCCTTAGTCTATCCAGAAGACTTCTTCCTCTTCTTACTTTTTGGAGCAGTCTCTTCAACGATATTAGCTCCCATAATCGTTGAATTTTCACGAGACTTCTTCTCAGTTGTTTTATTGTCTTCCTCAATCTTGAGACGAATCACAAGATCTTTAACTTTATTTCTTTGCGCTTGTGCTTAAGATAGTTTTTGAAATCTCTCCACGAAGGAGGAAATGCTTCAATCATTGCAGTCACTTGAAATACTTCATTCACTACCATACATTCATCAATAAGGTCGTGAAAAATAAGTTGAAACTCTTGAAGTTGGGTTCCAACAGTTTTGTTATCTATCATTTTTTAGTCTAGAAACTTGGCAACCATAAACTTTTTCAAACATGCATCTTCAGTCTTGTACTTCTTCTCAAGTGCGTCCCATAATTCTTTCGAAGTTTTCATAGCACTGTAGACATTGTACAAGTCATCCTCCAAAGCACTTAGGATGTAGCCTTTGCAAAGAAAGTCTGCATGTTTCCACGCCTTAACAATCATAAACTTCTCATTGTCCGGCATGTCGGCGGCAAGCACGGGAGGGTCTTCACTGGTGAACTTCTGCATACCAAGCGTGGTAAGCCAGAAAAGTACCCTTTGCTGCCATCCTTTGAAGTTGGCTCCAGAAAATTTCCCCGATTTCTCGGCCGGTGGCACAACAGTTCAGATTGACGAGGCTATTGTCGTTGCCGCAATAGTCGTAGAAGGATTTCAATTATCAATTGCCATTTCTCACTGTCAACAATAGAAGAGTTCAATTAATGGCAAAAAATAGTACATTAAATAGTACTGTAATTAATGATTAACAGTACGTTTAATAAAAAAAATTGAAGTTTTTATATACTGTTTCACAGAAAATGATAAAATTTTTATGTTCTTCAAATTGTTTCTGAATTTTAATACTCCGATGAAGTTTTCATATCTTCAAATCAGAATAGAAAAATTCAGAAGGAGTAGAAAACCACATAGGTTTTAATCTCCAAAAATAAAATACAGATTATAAACTAAAAAATAATTTTCTTAAGATTGTTAGCCAATTTGTATTACTATAATGAATAATGAAACAGTAAACTTTCTGAAACATAAAACATAAACAGAAAGTTAGCAGCAACAGAATGTCGAAATAATATCTGAAAATAATTTCGGAATAAATCAAGCCCACTGAATGCACAATGTGTCCTTAAGGAAATTATTTCCCTCAAGTACCTGAGGTGCTGGAATATTATCCTCCCAGGATAGAACGATTTAACTCACTAGTGTATCGGTACCAAAAGATCTGATGAACTTCGAACCACTCAATGGTTGTAAAACACACTAGAATTTTAATTGTACAGAAGAAGGAGAAAAAGCTCAGAAAATTTCGTAAGGAAAGATTCTGGGATCAAGGCATATTTATAGTCATTTTCTAGCACTGTTTCTGAAAAGTTTTGCAATATTTCAGAAACAGCCATGACTGTTGGAATAGGTGGGAACATTTTCCGTTTGAAATATTTCGGGGAAAAGGATTTAAAATAATCCGGGAAAGAAACGGACCGGGTCGCGTCGCGAGTCCTGGGTTATTCCGGGTTGAATTTTCGTTAATTTATTAAATTAATTAATTGAAAGAAATTTTGTCCAAAAAGATTAATCAATCAATTTTTGACAGAAGCCGAAACCGAGCGAGCGACGGCGCGAGGCTTACTTTCTTTCCAACCCATTTAACACCAAGAGAAGTGTTTTCTCAATATAAGCACATTCACTTTTCTTTCCACCATCAATGAGAGAAACTTGCTCTTTCCAAAGCAAAAGGGAGCTTATTTTCCCTCCTATTTCCCATTCACCAATCTTTTAATCCTAACAGATTGCTCTTTGAACATGAAGTAAACGTGGTCATTATCTCGGTGTTGTAGAAGGTATAAATATACCTAATTAGTTGAGGGTAGGCTGGAGCTTAGGGCAAGACAAAATGGGTGGGCATAGGTGGTCTGGTGTTCGAGAGACGATAACTATTTCACTTATTATTTTAGTATTAGCCACCTATGTCGGACTGGAAGGCGACAAAACAGGAAGAACGCAAAGCTCTAACACGACAAAGTTCTTGGTTATTAGCAAGAGGGAAGGAGGGATCTCCACTCATTTCATTCATTTAGTGCTTGCGGTTGGGGCACGACCCATGACAATTGGGCAAAGCTTGTTGCAATCCTATATTAGTATATTAGGCTTGGTAAGCTTAAGCTATATTTAAGCAGACTCACGGCTGCTGAATAGAGAGTTACTTGTTATTATAGATCAACTTAACCTAAGAATATAAAAATCTTTCACATTGTCTGTCAACATAACTTAAAATTATCATTTGTATTCTTAATAATAGCCCACATCTATCACCAGGGAAATATAAGTATGGACAGAGAAGCTACAACAGGAGAATCTCAAAAATTAAAAGACAAGATTCAATCATCCAAGAAACCCCTGTGCTTTATAATCCTTAACATTAGGCAGGTGATCATATGGTATGAACCCTTTTCGTATGCTTGTCTGATTTTGTAATCCATCATATAAAGAAGTCAAGACAACTTCCTTTTATAATTCGATGGAATATTGTTTAGGTATTAAGATGTTGAACACATGTCTAGATATAACATAACTCAAATTTCAATTCCAGCAAACTGGTAACTGATGGAGAACTTTGATGACGCAAATTCTAGTGGTATAGAGGAAGAACGACAAAACTAGAGCTTGAGGTCCTATCCTATATACAGGCATCCGTTTCTTAAGTATAAGTAGTGGGCTAGTGGCTATAATGGAAATGCAATGAACTAGAGATTTTAATAGTGTGATGTGAATGACCTTTGAGCCATCAAGTTATTATATATTCTTTATTGGCTGTGATTTCCTTATATTGAATAATCAATGGCAATAATATCCAGATCAAGATCTCAAATCTCTAAATAAGTTAGTATTCTATGATTAACACAAAAAGAATTTTTCAGGGGAAGTAGGTCAACGTGTTTTTAGAAAGATCCACAACATCTGAAGAAACGAAAGGGATGGTTCTAACTTCTAATTGGTCGATACACTACTGCATCTAACAAAAGAACTTTACCCATTCAATTAACCACTACGCTTGTTGTATCTTTAAGAGGAAATACTCACCCTAAGGGTGAAGAAATTATCTTAACACTACAGAACTATGGCTCAGTGCAACTTGCTTCTCAACCGCAAACCTCTCTCTAATGTTTTACTATAACAAGCACAATCATGGTTATTCTTTATCAAAAACAACAAGCTATAAAGATACCTAGAAATATTTTTTGTTACATGCAGAAAATACAAGCAAATGCCAACTGCTTTTATGGTGACATCTTTGACATTGAATCATATCTCCTTCATTTCCATAACTTGACCGAACTGTCATGACTTGCAGAACCAACCATTCCAGTCGCTGGTGACTGTGCTAGAGCAGCGATAATGTTATCATGTGCTGGAACTGTCATGCTTTTATTCTCAACCATATCCCACAGCTCCAAAGACTGCAACATAAATTCACAAAGTATCAGTCAGCCGGGAACCCAGAGACTGCTGTAATGGCCGGCAGTGAAGTGTTGTGCATTGTCACTAAATAGTCAAAAGTGTATGAACATGAAGTAATCCCAAAAGCCTTAAGTGACATCTTACCGACGTGAATTAAACAGACTTAAGAACAAGAGTGCTTAAAAAAGGAGAACACTAATTACCCTCATTCCTCCAATCACCAACAAAGCTGAATAACTAGGATGAAACACGCAAGAGTGGAACTGATTCCCGGTAGCACTTAGCTCATGAATGCAGTCACCGGTGGTCAATGACCAAACTTTGACAGATTCCTCACTAACTGATGCCAGTAACTCACCATTTAGATCCCAACACAGGTAGTTCACCACTCCAGGATGTCCCTGTAACCAAACACCCATATTTATCTGAAAAGTAAAATGAAGCCTAGGACACCCAGAAAATAGAAACGACAGATAATGCTAATTGGAAGAACTCAAAAGTCATCTAGCACGAAAACAAACCTGGAAGGAATGAATTTGCCTGTCATTTTCGACATCAAAGATGGAAACCACCTTATCTGAAGCGGCAGCCAACAGATGGCCGGTCATTGGCTGAAACCTCACTTGTGCACTGCCTCCTTGCTACAAACAGAGGGATATGAAGTTGAACATAGCTCAACAGGAATTTATTTCTGCAAAGTTGATTGAGAAAATAACAGTAATTAACAATAGAAAGCACACCTTGGACACCCGAGTACAAGAAAATGGACTAACACTCCAGTAGCGAATTTCATTGTTGCTATCGCAAAAACAGAAGAGATCGTTCTTCTTCGGGTGAAAATCCAGCGACATAACATGAGAAGTATGCCCCGTATAAGCTTGCAAACAATAGCTAGGCTGCAAATATAAGTTCAGCAGAAGATTGTTGAGCATAAATTTATTTAACAGCAAATTAACTGAAAACTGGCAAATTGTATGAATGTATGAAGTGCTATGCACTACAGCTAAGGCCTGCAATTACATCTCGTGGTTATAAGAAAAATGCCTAGAGAATGTAAGAATACTAACATTGGAAGCATCCCATAATCTCACAGACTTGTCAAATGAAGCAGTTGCAAGTTGAGAAGAATTAGGCCGGAAGCGGACATCTGTAATCAAGTATTGATGTTCCTCAGGGGTGTTCTGTGTTTGCAGAGTATCCATGTTCCAAAGAACTGCCTGATGTATACATGGAAAATGGTTCATAATTTACAATTTCTTGGATGAAACCAAAGCGTAGAAGAAAATGGATATGAGTAATGAAGTAAACAGAGGACAGAGCCTACATTCACATACCACAGAATGAAATAAAACAGTCATCCGGTTATCTTATGCTAAAGACATCAGATACTCTGAAGCAACCTACCTTCTTGTCGTGTCCAGCACTAGCAAGCAACTTCCCATCCGATGAGAAATGACAGCAAGTCACTTTATTTCTCGTGCGTATACAACCAACTTCACCGAAGGAGAAACCTGAGATGTATCCTTTAAGTTAACATACTGTAACCAAAGAAGAAAAACAATAGAGAATTTATAAGTACAATTGTGAGATTATTACCTTTTGAAGAATCAGGCTTGTGCTCAGTAAGAGTTTGCTTCAATGTGCCGTAGATGTTTCCATCTCCCCCGTCATTTGACAGGAATGATTCCACATTATCTTCGAAAGAACCAATGTCTCCAAAAGTCTCCCCTAAGTCATCCTGTACAACAGAAGAAAGCAAGAAGAGCATACAGATTTAAAATAGCGAATGATACTTTAAATTCATGATATAGTTAGAAAATTAAACCTTCTCAACCATAAAAGATCCATGAAGCTACATAACAACCAAATACTTCATTAACAAATATAAAAATCGTATGTTTAGAAATAGATAATGCAAACAAACATTTGCATGAAAAAAGTGAAAGAATTACCAGCTGATTTGTAGAAGATGCAATACCACCAGTTCCCTCTCCTCCATACATCATCAAGCCTTTTGACACGCTAGTCATCCCATCACCTGGGGTATGTGTTGATGCTGGTGAGCTTGGTGAAGGCCCAACTGTGTTACCCGTGCCAGTACTATTAGCAGGTCCAGAAGACGAATGTTGCTTCCTTTTTCTGTTGTTCTGGGAAAAGAGTAAGAAGATGGATGAACTACTCTTTAATTGCTTGGACAGTTGGAACCGGTTAGATAAGTTACTTTCCAGGAA